AAAAAAAAATTAAACTCATAAACTATAAATAATATAAAAAAAATAAAATATTTAGGAATTCACCAAATATACTCATAATCTCTGTCGAAGGTTAAACAGTATTGAATGTAATTAATCATCTACTCGTTTTACTTGCAATTGCAAATCATTCCAAATTGCATTACCTGGCCCTACATGTGTATGTAGTAAATTATAGTTTTCAAACAGAAGATTCTTTTTACATGAAAAAATCTTGGGGAGACAAAGAAAGTGATTTCTTTACGAATTGGTGGGTAACCAGCCGCGGCCAAGGGCCGACAAGAAAGCGAAGAGCGCCGCCCTTCCCCCTCTATGGCTTTTATTGAGTTATAGCCTCCACCTAACGAGCGATTTGACATCCTAATTATCAATTTCTAATATAAGCACTCAAATGAATGCTTATTGTTTTTGTTTGATGAACAAAATTAAAATTAATGCATACCACAAAACAGGGTCATTTATTTTTAAATGATTGTCCAAGAAAATCATAAAAGAGGTTATCACAATCTAAATCTTACAATAAGACCTTATATAAGTTTTTAAATCACATTAAGAATTATTTTACTTAAAAATTTTATGTTTATCATTTAGTTAAGGTTTCATATTAAATTTAACTTTTAATCTTTTTTTACAGGTTGTTTTAAATAAGTGATGATATTTTATTTACAAAAAATATATAAAAAATGATTATTATTTTATATTAAATGAAAAAAAAGATTCAAAATATAATTTTTCTCCTTGTGATATATAGGAAAAGTTGCTAACTCAATAAAATAAAGAAACAGAAATGTTTGATTCCCTTTTGATCACGATGATGGAACAAACCTAGACAAGGTGGAATTGAATAGGCATTAACTGAGGTAGCTGATATATAGCAGTACTCCACTCTATGTTGTTTTGTAGCTTCAATTCAAGTGCAATAAGCTTAAACTATGATTGCTATCAAGGAAGAAAAAAGCAATTTCCAAGTGGATTAAGTCCTTTTACATCCATCACTTCCCTTTCAAGGATATGGGGACTATTACTCTAACCCTTCACCTGTTTCATCATCCCCTTTTCTCTTTGACATAGATTTTGCTAATTTCCTCAATCCTCAGAGACATAGATGATCTGAAATCTGGGTGTGATAGAAATTGACCAAATACAATTCACATGGCCAAAAATTTTGGCCTTTTGAAACTCCTATTCACCCATTGAGGTCCATTCACACTCGGAGAAAAGTTCAAATTTGAGTCATTCATTGTGTAGTTTTAAATTACTTATAGTAAAAGTTGATTTAAACTTCTATGATGTATGTTTAGAAACTTTATTCAAACAATATTTTTATAAAAGTTTTAGTTAGAAATGGACCATAATCATTACGATTACAAATACATCTCTCCTTTTCATAATGTAATCAAATTGCAGTATTTACATAGCCTATTTCAAACTAAAAGAGGAGTTCAACTTTACATCAGAATAGTAAGACTAGGAACAATCAATCATCTAAAATATTGCCACATTAACTAAGACATTAAAACACACGCAGAATATTTCATTAAAACATTAAGGGATCAGATTTGTTGACAATGAATTCAGAAAATTGACCCAATTGTCATCCTCCTCCTCTTCTTCTTCATCTCCTCCCATGTACTGGCTCCACTGAACCTGGTGATTAGAAATCTTCTCAATTTCATCGTTTCGCGCAAACCGGCCTCTAATTCTTGGCCTGCTGTCTGCCAAAGTTTTCCTACATGCATACTGCCAAAGTTTTTATATTCATCAGTACTTATATTCATATTAGCTTGCCAACAGGAGTTCTATTCTTGGTTACTCAATCAAATGTGTCTGAAATATGAATAATACAGCTATAATATGAAAACAAGTGCAAGAAACTATTAAGCTTTTTGCTTTTGGAGGCTGTGCTGTCACTAGTGAAAGACTCATAAGCACTTTTTTTTTTTTTTGGGTAAGCCTAAAAACTCACAAGCACTTAAAATGTCATTTTTCATGAGGATTTGATTCATTGCTTGTCTTTTTGCTACTAGTGGGGTGATTCATGACTTCTTATCCATTACTCATAATTTCAAAGAAACTATTTCAAACTATATCTAATTGACTCATGGATGGCAAATTGGCAAGAATGCGATAGACACACA